TGGTTTTAAAAAAAAAAAAGCCAGGCAGTGGTGGCACAAACCTTTAATCTCAGCACTTGGGAGGCAGAAGCAGGCGGATTTCTGAGTTCAAGGCCAGCCTGGTCTATAGAGTGAGTTCCAGGACAGCCAGAGCTACACAGAGAAACCCTGTCTCGAAAAACCAAAAAAATAAATAAATAAAAAATAAAAATAAAGGACACAAAATTATGGGATAGGCAGGGGTGGACCTGGGAAGAGTTAAAGGAGGGATGAATATGATCAAAACACACACAAAACTCTCAGAGAAATAATAAAAAGTTTTTTAAAAAGAAGAAAGAGAGGCTGGGGAGAAGGCTCAGTGGTTAAGAGCACTCTTTCTTGCAGATGACCAAGGTTTGATTCCCAGCACCCACATAGCAGCTCACAACCACCTGCAACTCCAGTTCTAGGGAATCTGACTTCCTATTCTGACCTGCTCCGTGCAAGGCATGCACGTAGTAAACATATATGCGCCCAGGCAAAACACTTCTACACGTAATTAAAGTCTCAGAGTTCAGTTCCTAGCACCCATGCCAGGCAGTTCACAGGCTCCCTGGGTTCCTGTTCACATATGAAATACACACACACATAAATGTACACACACCTAAAAATTATGAAAATAAAGATTTTTAAGAGGTAATAATAATGCATTTTATAAGCGATATAAAACTAATTGTTTTTCTAGTTCTAATCCTGTCACAGTTCTTGCTTTTGGTGGTGGGTACGAGAATAAAATATATTCAAAACAGAAAACTCCTTTAAGCTGGGCACCATGGAGCACGCCTTCAATCCCAGCACTTGGGAGGCAGAGGCAGGTGAATCACTGTGAGTCAAGGCCAGCCTGGTCTATGAAGTGGATCCCAGGATAGCCAGAGCTACCTCATGAGATCCTATCTCAAAAAATAAAAGAAAAATAGTATAAAATATATTCAGTCGGTAAAGTTAATGTGACACTCTACAACCTCCATTCCAGATGCTGATTCTAACTCTACAGACATTCTAACTCTACATTCAATAAGTTGTAGAGTCATTGGATCTGGTTAATTTGGGTGATGTTCTTATTTGCAAGGATTTTTATTTGTTTATTTTGGTTTTTTGAGACAGAGTCTCTCTGCAAAGCCCTGACTGTCCTAGAACTCACTATATAGACCTCAAACTCCAAGATATACCTGCCTCTGCCTCCTGAGTGCTGGAATTAAAGGTGTATACCACCATGCCCAACTCCAAGGGTTTTTTTTGTTTTTGTTTTTTTTACTAGTTTTTAAAATGTGGATGCCACTTTTGGCCTCTATACCCACACCCACACAGGTGGACATATCCACACAATATATACCTACATGAACAGAACACATAAACATAAAGGCATCAGGATGCCAGCTTCTAGCTAGAACACTATCTTATGTGTCTAGTGTTCCTTATGGAAGAAGCCAGATAAAGGCTAAAAGGGACCCCGGAGCTTTTTTCTGTTTTGTTTTTTTTTTTTTAAAGCTTTAGAACAATTGAATTTAAGATCTTGTCCCAAAACATCATAAGTGATGTCAAAAGTAATAAGCAGCTACAAACCGGTCTGGCTTAGGAGTGGGATGTCATCAGCCACAATGACTGGACAAGTTTCCACAGGCTGTGGGGTCGCTTCCAACCCGTGATCAATCAGCTCTGAGATCTGCAGCTCTGATTAGGAAAGAGCGTCATGTTGACAGGTGTCTAATTTGGTTTCTCCGATTGTAAATCAGAAGTTATCTCAGCCCATCTCATTAAAATCTCCCACAGGCCACACATTCTTACAATCACTTCCTACATGGCACGGACCTGTGTGGTGTTAATTAATTTATCAACCTGTAATACCCTGTCTTGTTTATGTCTACCTCCTCCACAAACCATGACTTGCGGCACAAAATGAATCTTGAGCCAGGAGTGGTGGTGTAGGCCTATAATCCCAGACCCAGGAGACTGAGAAGAGACTCAGAGTCCAGGGCTAGCCTGGGCTACATAAGGGTCTGCCTTGAACTCTGTCCCACATCTTATTCACTTCATGTTAATCATCTAAAGCTGAGTCATAGCAGCTTCTTCACAGTCACGGAGTAAGTCAGAAACAAAGCAGGAATAACTTTCTTGAGGCTGGGGGAAGGGCTTTCTAGCTCAAGAATAGTCAAAGCTCAGAGTTTAAAATGTGTGTGTGTGTGTGTGTGTGTGTGTGTGTGTGTGTGTGAAGTCCCTCAAATGCAGGGATTTAATCCATAAGGATATAAGGATTTCTGCTTCTAAGACATTATAACTCAGCATGATTTACAACAGAACAGAGAGGTCCGGCTCTTGAGTGAGGAAGGACAGTATGAACTGCTGACCAGATCAGATGTGACATGAAAGGCCCTGTTAAAGTCTTCTCTGTTACTGTGTGTGGTGGACACCTTTAATCTAAGTACTCAGAAGGAAGGAGTAAGCGCATCTCGAGGCCAGCCTGGTCTAAAGAGCAAGTTCCAGGACAGCCAGAGCTACACAGAGAAACCCTGACTTGAAGACCCAGTAAAATAAAAGAAAATGTTCTCGGTAACAGCCCCTGAGAGTCAAGAGTGCATTCAGGCAGCCCCACAGCAACACTGTGGGAGTCTTCAGCATTGGAGCAAAGCCCAGTGAGTACTCTGATGTCACAGTTCTCAGGGAAGTTTATTAACATACATTTCCTTTGCCAGGCATTGTGGCCTGCACCTGTAATCCCAGCATTTGGGAGGCAGAGGCAGGTGGATCTCTGTGAGTTTGAGGCTAGCCTGGTCTACAAAGCAAGTTCCAAGACAGCCAAGGCTACATAGAAACATTCTGTCTTATAAAACAAAAACAAAATTTCCTTCAGATAAATATTTTAAACAACGCCAATCAAACCAGTAAGATGACAAGAGTGGGCACATCCAGAGGCCAACGGAGCTTCTGAAAACACAGTGGACTCAAGACCCCAGGGCCACTAAGGATTCCTCAGGGTCAGCCACCTGAACAGGCTCAGAAGCCAGTTTAATCCTCAGAACCTCTGCGAAGCCATCACCAAACCAGCATGTGACGTGTGCTGTGTCCACAGTGAAGAAGAAGAGGCGGTCCTCACAGAGCTTCCGTCGGTACACAGACCGAGGGTCTGCAGACAGCACAGCCTCAATGGCACACTTGGCTTCCTCTGCAGAGTCAAAGTATTTAAGTGACGTCTGACCATCATCTGCAATAGGAAAGGCAGGAGCCTGTAATTACAACCACGCAGGTCAGACTTGAAACAGTGAGCTTCAGCGTGAAATGTGCTCGTTCTGCACGTCACATGAAAGGAGCAGGGTCTAGAAACCTACTCATTTCAGAGACTATCACCTTTATGAAGTATTTCCTGTCATTAGAGTTAATATGTACACCTCCAAAATAACAAACACTCTGTATTTTACACAGGTCTCCAAAACAGGCAAGGTAAGCTGTAGTTGTTTGAATATGTTTGGCCCAGAAAGTGGCACTATTTTGAGATGTAGTCTTGGAGTAGGTGTGTCACTGTGGGCGTGGGCTTTAAGACCCTCATCCTAGCTGCCTGGAAGTCAGTCTTCCACTAGCAGCCTTCAGCTGAAGATGTAGAACTCTCAGCTCCTCCTGCACCATGCCTGCCTGGATGCTGCCATGCTCCTGCCTTGATGATAATGGACTGAACCTCTGAACCTGTAAGCCAGCCCCGATTGAATGCTGTCCTTGTAAGACTTGTATTGGTCATGGTGTCTGCTCACAGCAGTAAAACCTAAGACAGCATCTATTTCTAAATGTAACCTGCTAACACTGCCCTTTTCTTTGCCATGTCCTGTGCCGTCATCACCTTCTGAAGTGTTTCTAATGGGCTCTGCACAGCAGTGCGCTGACTTCCTAGACCTCAAGCTTTTGTGTCTTCACCCATTAGAAGACAAGCTCTGTGGAGCAGGGCAGGGCTGGAGGAGCTCAGCAAAGGACTGCACAGGAAACATGCATGTCCCTCTTGCTACAAGCATGCTGGCTGATTACTGAAAAGTAACACAAGAACGGTTCTCAACCCTTTGGATATCTGTCATCTCCTTGGAAACCAGCTACTTCTTAGCGTCCCCATTCCCACCTCTCAACAACAGCAGCTTCTTTCATTCTCCATCTGCTACAGACTGAGGAAACCAAACAACACATGCTAAGGACCGTGTGATAAATGGGCTCCAAAACAGGGCCCTGTGACCTTCCTTGGCAGGGAGTGATGTCGGGGGGAAAAGCACTACAGCAGGAGAGTCTTTTCTGCTCTGAGATCCTAGGGGCACTGACAGAATGGGACAGATACCTCTTTGGCTCGATAGGAAAGCAAGTAAGAAATTGAGTGCACCCAAGTATAGACCAAACACAAGCCAAGGTGTGACTGCTACTCAAAAAGGACAGAGAAAGGCAAGCAGAGCTGCGGATGTGGCCCAACGGTTAAGAGCACGTGCTGCTCATACAAAGGACTTGAATTTGGTTTTTAGTAGCCATGTTGGGCAGCTCACATATGCCTGTAACTCCAGCTCCAAGAGATACAAAGCCTCCCCTGACGCATCATCTCCATGGGCACATACCCCCAAGACAGATACACATGCATACACATGATTGAAAGAATAAAATAAATACTAAATGACAGATAAGGGCCAAGTCAAGGGACACCTCCTGAGGTAGCAGCCACTCTCCACAGATGCCTTCTGAGCACCTGGACTCACCACCAACTAAACAGTTGTCAATCAGAAAGTGCCAGTGCTAGTGTACCCAGAGTGTATAATCTGCTCCTTAAAACCCAGTCATCGTGACAATATTCCGTATGCTTTCACAAATGTCAACCCTGCCTAGAGTCATTACAAAGACAAGCTCATCCCTTGACTGGTCTGTAGCTGACATGCACAGGCCTGCTCCCCTGCACAATCAGAAACACAACAAGGAACACGAGCTCATCTCTCACTCACTCCCCAGAGACCCGAGGTACCCAAGCTCACCTGAACTGAGCTTCCTCAGCTCCGTCTCTGCATGAGGAGTAAACCGGACTCGTAAAGGGGCTACAGGAGCCTCCTTCACCCAGCTGGGGACAACACTGCAGGGCACTCTGTCAGCTGTCCTGGCATGGCAGGAAGCATCCCACTGTGTTTCTGCACTGCTCCTCCGCAGGACCAAGGCACCTTCCATTTTCCTTGGTCTGTCTATGCCTTCTTCCAGAAAGCACTTCAGCTCCTGTGGACCAAGCTGATCTTCCGACGTATCCATGCTCTCACCTCTGCCTGGTTCCAGTGCCAAATCCACCGCTCTCTCTCTGTCCTCTGGCGAAGTGTGCTGGATTTCTCTCATGACTCTAGACTCCTGGGAGTTTTCTTCTGAGGTCCTATCTTCAAGGCATTTAGGTTTCTCCTCAGTGCTATGGCAAGGCTGTGCTTCCCCACACCCTGAGAGCAGCTGCTGGTCACAACCATTAGCTGTGCCACCAGACTGGGCCGCAGCCCTCAGCTTATAGTGGCTATTCTGTACACTGAAGTTCTGTGGTGAGTCGTAGTCAGCAATGTAGGGCTTTATGTCTAGCACAGGTGTGCCGTGTATCATATCAATCCCAGATAGGTATACAGCTCCACCTGAGGGGGAGAAAGATCCTCTTATGTGCCCACAGTGGGTGATGATAAAGGCAAATGGAGGGTAGGATTATCCCGTGTCTCTCAAACACCTGCTTTGACCTCACTGAGCCCCCTTACTGACTGTAAACCCACATCTCCATCACCAAACTACTACTCTTCAAGGCTCTCACAGAACACGTCATTTACAAACCTTCCTGGCTCTCTTTCTTCTGGGTCCCACAGAGGCCCAAGTATACACACCTCCACTCAAGCCCTTCATACAGAATGGCAATGGCTTACTGACGCCTCTGTGCCCTGACAGTGAACAGGCCTGGAAGCACCTGTTCACCAGTCCTTTAAACACGCCCAGGCACACAGTCCTCAGTGTGTCACCAAGACCAACATGCATTTCCATGGTGGCAAACAGACTTCAGGAGGCCCACCATTCCCCAATTTTCTGCTCATGCCCTGTGTAACCCCTTCTCTGAGTTCAACTTACATCTAAGCCACCAAATATGACAAAAGAGCTCTATGATGAGTCCCACATAGGACTCCTTAACCCAATGACCTCTCCTGCAGACGGGTGAAGTACACAGGCATGGCGGGTGGGGAAGCCCAGGTGGCGAGCAGCCACAAGATGTCCTGGAAATACGGGCAGCTTTAGGACCTGAGGGTGTTTCCGGCCAATACCAGCACAAAGCTGAGATCCTCAATCCTACGTCTATGAGGAAATAAACTCTGACAAACAACCTCACAGAAGAGGAGCAGCCAAGATGAGCCCATTCTGCTGGCCCCTGGAAAAACAGCAAGGTTTTAAACACATCACAAGGTGTTCTGTCTATAAATGGATATGCTTTGGAACTTTTTGTTATACAGACCTAGAAATGTCCATAAAGACTCACAAAAGTCATCAGGGCACAAGACCCTATAACTAAATACTAAGGTCTCCTGCTGTCCCACTTGGATAGCTGTTGTGCACATCCTGCTACTGGAACAGAGCCTCCTATCCTGACTCTTGGAACACTAACTGAATGAGAACCAAAAAAACATGTGCACACGTTGACCCTGACTCTACTTAAGAAAAGCATGATGGCATGAAGGCCCAGATGTGAGACATGCTGTGTGCGAGCCTGGAGCTTTGGAAAGATGACCCTGCACTAGTTAAATGATGGAAGACACAGGGGAACCCAAGAGATCCCAGGAAACTCCTACAGTGCTCATGGCTCTGGTGATTATTTGTCCCTCTGCATGAACAGTATTGATTATGCTTCTCTTATTAACTGGCCTCCTAACACAGGACTGACTGGCAGGCTCATGACCTTTTGTGATAGGTAAAAAAAGCTTTTTCCACCTCTACATTATTCACTATTGATCACTGTTTGCCCGTTCACGTCCCCGATTTCATCTCCCTCAACAGAAGGCTAAGTTCTATGTGAGCAGGAATATTTATCTAAGTTCATCACCAATGTATCTCTACCTGGCACAAAGGCAATGATTTAAAAACAAATGCAGTGTGGTAGTCTGAATTCAAACGGGCTCCAAAGGCTCATGTATTCAAATACTTAGACCCTAGCTGGTGGGACTGTTTAGAAGGGAATAGGAGACAGGCCTTGCAGGAGAAGGTGTGTCACTGGGTGTGGGCTTTAGTCCCAAAAGTTATCTCTCTCTGCCTCACGCATTTGGATCAAGAAGTAAGCTCTCAGCTACTGCCCCAGCACCAAGCCTGCCCACTGCAATGCTCCCCACCAGGGTAATTACATATTGTAATCAATCTTCTGAGACTAATCCCTGAGTAGACATTTTCTTTTATAAGCTGCCTTGATCATAGTGTCTTATTACAGCAATAAAAAAGTGACCAAAACATGCCATTTGCACGAAAGATCAGAAAATGTCCTAAAGGGCTGTTGTCCAATTTGATAAGCCACCTAGACAGACCAGATGGGTAAGCAACTAACCTTGCTGGACAACCCACCTAACAACAGAGCACAGTTCAGCAGAGTGCAGGGTCCAAACAGAACAAAGCAGTCCTGAAGAGCACTGAGAACCTGTCGGATAAGACCCTCAGCAAAAACCCTGTAGAGTCCAAGAGGCAAGCATGCTTCTGCCCATTCCAGGAGCAAGCAATGGAGATTCAGCCTGGAATGGGCTCTCCACTCCCACCCCCACGCTGTCACCTTCTGCCAAGTTCTCTGAGCTGGGGTGCTCAGTGGGCAGAGTACTTTCCGACTATGCACGAAGCCCAAGGTTCAAGCCACAGCACCACATAAACTGAATGTTGTGAGTACTCTTGTAATAACAGCACTCGGGAGGTAGAGGCAAGAGGTCAGAAGTTCAAGGTTGTCTTCAGCTCTGTATGGATTTTAAGGTCTATCTGAATACAAAACAATAAAAAACCAACCAAACAAACAGAAGCTCTCTGAATATCTGACTAGGTTATACAGACACACAGTTAAAACCAATCCAGTATTCTACTGTGCACTTCTACAGCCTGACACTGCTAAAGCCTGCAATGTATTACACATTTCAGGCCATGAACACACAGCACTGCTGACGGCCCACACTGTAGCTCAAATGTCTCTTCCTTCAGCCTGCAAGAAGTAAGAACACCTTTGCTCTGCTTTCCAGAAATGCATCAACAACTGCGCATCACAACTGAAAATAGCCAGTAAATTTTAATCATCTTGTATTTCCTACATCCCAAGTCTTCTACATTCCACGAATCTTCTTACTAATCTAATGCTTATAAAACCTGTGATCTTAAAAACAGCACTGATTTTTAGAGTGGAATGATAAACTAGGGTCTGAGCATCTTCCACTAGCCTGTCTGTAGTGTTCCCTAAGTGTTTCCAATGCTGACACCCTCGATCATCACTTGTTCCTAAGTGCTAGGGGCTCTCAAAGGTGACAACCAGTGTCCGCATGAACAGCAGGTAGCAGTGAATGTCTGTCAGCTGACTTCTCACAGAGTATGACAAAGATGAAGCGAGAGTTACCTTCCACCTTCTCCAGCTTGGCCAGCGTCAGTCCTATTGCGTTAGGGCGATGAGGGCTCCGTGTGGAGAACACCCCAGTCTTTGCCCCATTCAGCCTGGGTGGCTGCACTTTTGCCTTGTAGTTCAAATGGCCGTTTTTGTGAAAAACAAACAAAATCCTATCGAAAATAAACAAAAACACTTTTTAAAGAAAGGGACAAATCATTTTTGTATAATGATTTGGGAAGAGAATATGATTTCCCACTAATTAACAGGAAGAACAGTTCTTAAGTTTATCAGTCATAAGAAAATAGGCCCTCCCTCCTTCCTTGTAGGGAGAATGCCATCTCCATATTCTTTGTACCCAACACAATGACTGGCACACAGTAGGAACTTAACAAGCTTGTCACATGGTCAATGAACACTGCTTCTAAGTGGCTGCTGTTTGCTATGTAGTATATTAGACATTTTTATACCCATTTCGTACCTTGACAATCCTAGAAAGTATAATTTAGCCCTCACTCTGAGGGTAAAGAAATTGGAGTTCAGAAAAGTTCAACTTGACGAGGTCTTTCTAAACAGAATATGAAAGCCAGAACCATGAGGGAAAATAGTAACTGTTTTGAATTCATTAAACCATTAAATTCAGGTCTAGAAGATGTTTGCTATACACAATGGGTTAGCTAATATTGACAATATGTAAGTCATCCTTACATAATTCACCAAGTAAAGAACTCAACTCAAGCCGGGCAGTGGTGGTGCACGCCTTTGATCCCAGCACTTGGGAGGCAGAGGCAGGCGGATTTCTGAGTTCCAGAGTTCGAGGCTAGCCTGGTCTACAGAGTGAGTTCCAGGACAGCCAGGGCTACACAGAGAAACCCTGTCTCGAAAAACCAAACCAAACCAAAAAAAAAAAAAAAAAAGAACTCAACTCAAAGGACTCAAAGCAAAGAACAAGAACGTGCAACTTACACAGCAAACATAAAACAGCTAGCATGAGTGTCAATAATAAAGAAGACAGACTAAAAACAACACTGTATTTCTCTATTGGACAAAGTAAACATGGACAGAAACAGAATTCCTAATAAAAGTCATATCCAAATTTCTAAGGCTTTTTGTCTTTTAGGGAGAGTACACTGAATTCTTCAAGGGCCTACAATAAGGCCCCACAAACTTCTCTAAAAGGTCAGATGATAAATATTTTAGGATTTGAGGCCAACCAGTCACTGTTCCAACTATTCCGCAACTGGGGCAGAGTTTTACAATGGTAGCCACACACAATACATAAACCAATAGGCACGCCACAGACAATATACAACTTCGGATCATGCTACACAGTTAGCACGACTGTGATCCCATATATGTACGAAAGTAAGCAGTGGACCATATTTGGTCCACAGACCACAGTTTGCTGTGTCTTGTTCTAGAGACCAGCATAATGACCCACCACAGGCAGAATCAAGGAGGTGTATGATTTAAGCTAAACAGAAGAGATCTGTCATAATTAGAACAAGCAGTAATTAAAACATGTTCCCTCAGTGAATCACAAGTTCCTAATGGTGTCCGAGTATACAAACAATCAAATGTACAAATAAAATATGGGGATTTATACATAATCCATAATCATACAGTTAAGGGTGGTATAGTTGACAAACTTCAAAGTTGCCTTCAATTGCATACTTTCTCAGGGCCCAAGCTGCCACTTCTAACTAGAAAGCAACTTACCAAACATGAGAAAACTGTTCTAGGCCCATCAAGGAATGTTCAGGATTATTAAAGATGCTCTTTCTGATCTTCAAACAGGCTCTGGAGTAGCTACAAATGGATGGCTGCCTTGGAGTGCCAATCTTGGCTGAGAAGCATGATTCCAAGTACCCTATTGGCTCAGTAAAAAGATTCCCTATGGAAGAAATCATACTGGGTAAGAATCATTACTCAAAAGGTCAAAGATGTAAGAAAGCATGTTTTCCTCTCATGGACTGATTTCATAGTTCTAAAATCGAGGTACAACACAACTATTGAAAACATGTTTAGAGCCGGGCGGTGGTGGCGCACGCCTTTAATCCCAGCACTTGGGAGGCAGAGGCAGGCGGATTTCTGAGTTCGAGAGTTCAAGGCTAGCCTGGTCTACAGAGTGAGTTCCAGGACAGCCGGGGCTACACAGAGAAACCCTGTCTCGAAAAAACCAAAAAAAAAAACCAAAAAAAAAAAAAAAAAAAGAAAACATGTTTAAATACAAAGTCCTGCTATGTAACTCAGGCCGGCCTCAAACATACAGACCTCCAGCATCAGCCCCTCCCCCTAGCTGCTGGGATCACAACTGTGCACCAGCATACCCACCTCAATTTTTACTTATAGCTATAAAAATTCATAAATTATATTAATAGAATGTTTTGACTATATTATAAGGTATATTATAAGGTAGAAATTATAATTTATAATTATTTCTTTTTATGTTCTCTGAAGACACTCCAGATCTCCATTTTATTTAATTTGCATTAAATCCTGTATCTTATTAGTTCAACCAGTAAGATCTAGCACTGTCTCTCACGACATGTCTCCTTACTTTTGGCTTATACAAACTCTTACTACTGTTGGGATATATCACTCCTATTTTAAATCCCGGTACTTGGGAGACAGAGGCAGGCAGATCTCTGAGTTTGAGGACAGCCTCGTCTACAGAGTGAGTACAAGAGGACAGCCAGGGCTTCACAGAGAAACCCTGTCTCCAGGGTAGGAGTGGGGAGACAAGGATACTCTTATACAGAGAAAAAAAAAATTATATGCAGCATGTATGTAAGTTAAAGCATAACACACCTGCCAGCCACACCAGAGACCTCAGTGCCACTACCTGCATCTCTGCAGACTGCTTCCAGGAGCTGCAATCTGATCTTCATCATCGTTTACCGCCTTTCAGAATGTGGTCTTATCATACATACTTTCGAGCCTAAACAATACTTCATTTACTTTGATTGAATTCTATAAAGACACCACACTGTAAATTATCTACATAAACTGGCTTTTTCTCTCCATCTATATTGTGTGTGCTTCTGACAACTTTCAAGTTTTCTCCAAGAATATTTACAATTATTGCTGTATATTTTTTGTTTTTTTTTGGGGGGGGGTTGTTTTCACTTCTTCATCCACGCTGTCGTGGAAGAGGATTAAAGACGAAGAAACTGGGGCCAAACGACAGGCAGCAGCAGTCACACACATCCTATCTCCCTGTAACTCCCTAAGGAAAAAGACCACACAACACACGTGGACAACGCAGCTACAGTACTGAGACTATTCCCAGACCACACCCCGTGTACCAAGATCCTAATACGTCACTCCCGTTGGCCTTGGCAAGTCACGTGGTCATAAGGCCACGTGACCCTCACTTTGGCGGCAAGGACAAGAACGCACGTCAGGTAGTTCGCGTTCTTCTGGGCAGGGAAGCCGGCTGCCTAGCTTAGGGTGCGGCGCCGCCTGTTTCCTAAAAGTTACCTGTCTCCAGGGCCGGCTGAGCACACCCACATGGGGCCGCTGTAGCACACAGACCCTGCTTCTCCAAGCCGCGCATGGCTACAGGCCGCTGAATCGTCCGCGCGCCCAGAGCTGATTTCCGCTTCCGCTTCCGTACTTTAGGCTTTGGCGCCTGCGCAGTTGTCGCTAGGTGCCGGGTCTTGGAGGACGCGCTCAATGGCGGCCCAGCTGCCGCGTGGAGGGTGGGTACCCGGACTCTGTGCAGCCCCCATTCACCCATCATGCGGCGATGGCGGTCTCGCGACAGCCTGCACCGTGCCCTCCGAAGGTGGGACATGTGGATAAAGTTGTACACGCAAAGATACCCTTGAATTATAAGTGGCCTCGGTGACCAAAAATACCAATGAGCTTAATAGGAAAGGATTTGACTATCTATGATCACATAGCAAAAGAACTGGAATTTGGCACTTTTTTTTTTAACTTATTGTGTGCGCGGAAGCATGTCGAAGTTAGATGACAAAATGCAGGAGCCGGTTCTCCTTTCACCGCGTGGCTCCCAAGGATCAAATTCAGCTCGTCTTAGCCGGTTCCTTTACCTGCTGAGCTGTCTAGCGGCCCAAGAACTGGAGGCTAAATGTTTAAAATTCTCCTTGGCAGTGGGAATACGGGTTAAGTTTATCACTCTGCTCCACTTTTTAAGTAACTGTGTCGGAAAAAGGCCAAGTAAATCAAAAGTGGTAGATGTTACAAGCAGGCTAGGCTAGACGTTAATAAGTCGCAACGTTTCTTGTGCTCCAAACTGAAATGAGAGTAAAAAGCCAGCTCATTGGAAAGATGGGCACCAGCAAGAGTCGTATTTTAACCTCATTCAGTATCCAGTTGTCCTTCCCTGCTCCAATTGCCTGCTCTTTAGTCACTTGTAAGATTCTTTCTCCCAAACTCTTTGCACATATGATTATGTTTGGGGATTTCAAAATCTTGTTGGTTTAGAAGGAAGAGAGGGAGAAATCCACTTCTCATTACCTGCAATAGAAAATATTAAAAATATGCGAGTCCGCGGATTAACGGCTTAACTGTGAAAAGCTGTTTCCAAGTGTTTGTTGTCACTGACTAAACAAGTCACTAGTAGGAAATAACCAGTGTTGGGAGACAGGTTTTTGAGAGAAAGTTGTGAATTTTTAAAAAGTTAAAACTGATATTGTGCCGTCTGTCAGAAGTTTGTCCATTAAATTTTTTTTCCTCTTTTTCTTGTAGAAGATACTGTTGTCTAGCTGGAGAAACAAGTTTGAGTACCTTTGGGCAACACGTACACGCTGTAAAAACGGGCTGAATAAGCTGCAGTTACCACTAGTCGGCGCTGTTAATAAGACAGTCAAAACTGAAAAGTGAAAGATGCGTGTCTTCCAGAAAGACCTGCTAGTCACTTGATAATCAACCCGTAGAGTATAATTGCCAACTGTGCCAACTACTGAGACTCAAAAAAAAAAAAAAATCAGACTTGGAGATCCTAGACCTAGGACTGTGTCTTTAAGAATAACCTAAAGGGAGCTGACTCAGCAGTTCAAAGCACCAGCAAGTGTTCCCAGAAGATCCAGGTTTGATTTTCAGCGTCCATGTGGCAGCTCACAATTTGGAGTACCTCCACTTCCAGGGGATCTGATGCCCTCTTCTCGCCTCCATAGGCACCTACACAACACATTTAAAAGCTGGCCCTGGCAGCTCAGGCTTTAATCCCAGCGCTGGGGAGGCAGAGGCAAGCTGATCTCTGAGTTGGAGGTGAGCCAGAGCCACAACACACAATTTTTTAAAAAGTCTTCAGATGTAGCTCAGCCATGCCCAGACCCCTTCCTGCCACAAGAAGAGAGCATCACAAAATGGAGGTAAAGTGGATTCTTGGAGGCTCTAATCCATTACCTCAAAGCTCTAAACCAACAAGAAAACAGTAACAATTTGATTTCCTCTGGTGTCTGGATATGAATAGTAAGAAAGTAATGAATTCATAGGGAATTGAAGAAGGTAGATAGGACAAGGGGTGGTGGAGATGGCTCAGTGCCAAGCAAGTAAAGGACTAGACTTTGGGTTCCCAGCATCCATGTAAACGCTGAGTGTGTGTAGTGGCCTGCAAGAGGTAGAACAGGTAATCCCTGGAACAAGCTGGCTGGTTGGACTACTCCAAGTATTAGGCTCTGGGTTCAAGTGAGACCCCCCTGCCTATGTAAATTGGCGAGCAATTGAGGAAGACAGACATCACCCTCTGGTTTCATAGGCATGCACCTACATGGGCAGCCATGAACCCACGCACCAGTACCTGAGAGCATGTAAACACACTTTAAAACAAAACAAAAGGCTAGGGGTGTAGCTCAGTTGGAAAAGTGCTTGTCTAGTATGTACAAAGTCCTTGGTTCAGTCCTAGCACTGCATAAAGCCAGGTATGGACACATGCTCACAAGGTGAGTTTCAAACCAGCCTGGAACATACAAGACCCTGTCTTCAGAAAGACAACCAATAAACCTGGGTGGTTAGGAGCATTTGTTGCTCTGGCAGAGGACCTGGGTTCAGTTCTCAGCATCCACATGGACAGACAGACAAAGCTTTCCATAAATGCAGTTCCAAGGGATCTGATGCTGTCTTCTGACTTCTGTAGGCACCAAGCATACATGTACATGCAGGAAACACTCATATTCATAAAAATATTTCTTAAAATGTAAAACCTTAGACATAAAGCCATAAAAACAAAAATGTCCGGCCGGGCGGTGGTAGCACACGCCTTTAATCCCAGCACTTGAGAGGCAGAGGCAGGCGGATTTCTGAGTTCGAGGCCAGTCTAGTCTACAGAGTGAGTTCCAGGACAGCCAGGACTACATAGAGAAACCTGTCTTGAAAAACAAAAACAAAATGTCCATGCATAGATGTCATCTCAAATATAACAACCCTAGGGGAGAGTCCTGAGCACCTGTATACCTGAAGGCTCTGCTGGTGGCTCATGTGCTATTCTGTGCCACCCCCTCTGCAGGGGGCTGGGCTTGTCTTTTTGATACAGCCTCAGAGACCACTATACCATCTTGTTGAAAGAACTTTTAATTGTCAAAGTCTTATTTTTAGTCTTCTATAAAAGCCCAAGGAAAATCCAGACCAACAAAATATCAGGGAATTTTTCAAATATTTTCCAACCCAGAACTGTTTTTGTTCCCGCCTCTGGTCTCCTGTCCTTCTCAGGTCACCGTGACCATTATCACCAGATGAATGCCTGAAATATGAAAACTTCCCCTTCATTGTTGAAAAGCCTTACTCCGCAGTTAGCTGATGAATGATTAAGTCATTTAAGTCTGCAAGGCTCTACCCAGGGCTAAAGACAGTGGCTCTGCTGGTTAAGAGTGCTTTCTGTGGCCCAGTGTGGTGGCAGATGCCTTAGGTGCATGCCTTTCAGAATGTGAAGGTGGACAGATCTCTTTGAAGCCGGCATAGTTTACATGGCTGGTTCCAGGTCAGGAGCCTTGTCTCAAAAAGGTGGGAGGAGGGGAAGAAGGGAGATACACTGCCCTCAGAGAGGACCCAAGTTTGCAGGTTTGGTTCCAAGTACCCATATGTCAGATAACTCAGAACCTCCTGTAAACTCTTGGTCCAGGTAGGTCTCTACACATCAATAATAGATTAACTGCCTTATGATAGATTTTTAGCATGTAAACGAACTCTCCCATATGGGCCTGACTGACACAGCTGGCATGCAGTTCTCTTGACCTTGAACTGTGCTGCTCTGGGTCTCCTGTGCAGGTTCTCCCCATCCCTCCAGTATAGAAAAGCACTCCTATTGCATGTGCTATTCAGACGGTGCCAACACTGCTTCCTTTGGGGGAAGGTTATTAATAATACTTTAACATAGATTTTAAGCATGAGGTTTAAGAGAAAGAGAGCCACTCTCATAGAAAGGAAAATGCCCAAGAGCCAGGGCATAGGCTGTTGCACTGGGCACTTTCTTTTGGAATAATTTGTTTTCTGTTTTGTTCCTCAATGAGACCAAATTAAACCCTAGTGAGCGAAGATGTCATGCCATTTAGGTGTCTTACCACTCCAGCATAAGCCAAGATGCTGTCTTGGTAACATAGCTAAGACCATAGTAATGACAATGTACATTTTTTTTACAAATACTATTTAAAAAAATAAAAATAGAAGGTCCAGGTTCACACAGAAATAAATGATATTTATCAATTCCAAAATAACTTGCAAGAACTTTTGGACTAAGAATTGTTCAGATTGACTCTAAGAGACATGTAAAGCTTGAATAAACTTCTGATGTTGTTACAACATCAATAATTGACAAAATTCACAAGAAACTATATACTTTCAAAATAGTAAGTGTTCATATTGAATTGCTATCAACTCCTCAGAATTACCAAATATATGTTTCTTCTTAGAGGGGAAAATCAACTACTCAGCCTTTCCCCTGCTCTTTCTGTCTTCCCCCATATACAAATACACACCCTCAGGCACTCACACAGGTACACACACACACACACACACACACTATTGTCTATGTGTTAGAGCCTTAAAAATGTTAGTTCTCTTTCAGATAAGATCTACAAATGGAAAAAAACATAAGTTAAAATAGCAATGCAAATTTTAGTGATTGCTGCAGTGTTTCAGTGGAATCACAAGAGATGTGTGCTGTACTAAGTTGGACTGCAGCTTCGTCACTGAGCATTGTTCAAGTAGAGCGAGCTGTAGATGGCATTTTCTGGACAGGTCTCTTGAGGACCCTGTGGACTCACTGGAGCTTCTGGATCTTGATCTGTTTCATTTTCTTCCTCCATTTCTGCAAAATCAAACAAAATACAAAATAATAGATTCAATAAACAACGTTGACACTGTCAGTGACTCACTTGGGAAGGGGCGGCCAAGTACAGACACATTTCCATTGGATTAGATACTTAAATATTAAAATGCTTTATCATGGAAATGATGGTGTTTTATAATCTTGGGATTCTTTTTTTGTTGTTTTTTTTTTTTGGTGTGGTTTTTTTGTTGTTTTGTTTTGTTTTGCTTTGTTTTGTTTTTCAAGACAGGGTTTCTCTGTATAGCCCTGGCTGTCCTGGAACTCACTCTGTAGACCAGGATGGC